TCCCCCCCCCCCCCCCGCCCCTGTCGTATCCATTCCTGCCGCCAAAGCTGCGCCGCCGCTGCCTTCCCCCCCCGAAACTCCCCAGCGAAGCCCCCCCCCCCCCCCCCCCCCCGCCATTCCTGCCTCCCGTTTTACTACCTCGCCCATCGCCGCCCCTGCTGCCTAGGCCGCCATCACCCCTACTTCTGCAGCTGACGCCGGAAAAACGGCTCCTGTCTTACACCGCCCCTTTTATATCCTCGCCCGCTCCCGCCTCCCAGCCAATCACCGCGCCGCTCGCCTCACAGCGAGGGTTGGACATGGATACGGAGGGTCAGTGTTGTCCAATCCCTGGCCGCCTCTCCCTTAACTCAGCGAGCAGCTGACGGGAAGCTTTCCCGCCTAGAGACCGGAGGCCAATCAGCGGTGTCCATCGGTGTGAGGGAGCGATGGCGGCAGCCGGGGAGGAAGGAGGAGGAGGAGAAGGAGAAGAAGGTGATGGTGGGGCGGGGCTTCTGGAGGGGTGGGTCCTGTTGTGAGGTGAGGACAGTGAAGGATAGGGGCATGGTCGAGGCTGTGGGCCGGTGCTGGGGTGGTGGCAGAATTGTGGTGCGACCAGTGTGCAGGTGGGAGAGTGCGGGTAGCGTGGGGTGGGCGGGGACTGTGCTGGGGGCATGGTGTAGGCTGTGGACAGGGTTAGGGTAGATGCAGAGCGAAGTGGCTGTGCAGGTGGTGGGGCCAAAGGTTCAAAACCATCAAAACCCAGGGGTCAGCAGTTCATAGGTCAAGGGTTATAGGTCAGCGATAAACAGTAATAGGTTATAGGGTTGTATGTCAAGTGTCAGAGGTCAGAGTTCATAAGTCAAATGTCATAGTCCATAGGACAGACGTCATGGGTCACAGATTAAGGATTAAAAGGTCAAAGATCATACATCAGGGGACCGTCTCTTGGTTTGCACATTCTGGCCACGCTTGGTGCAGATAGCACTTCCCCCTCCCTGTCCCCAAGTGAGTGTTTTTTTAACACATTATTAACATGATAAAATAAGGTTTTGAAAGCAGTAATTTTTGTCACATGAACAGCTGGAGCAGGACCTTCTAATAAGAAAAAATTGTCGAATACTTTGGGACAAAAATGGAGAGATTTTAAACCTCACATGCTAACAACCATTCTGGAACAGAAAAGCAGTCATTGGCTTTCCCCAGGCAGGCTGTTAAAATATCAGGCTATGCTTTTAGAACAAGAGGATGTAGAATTGAAAGTGAGCAACCTTTTGAACTCAGCAGTGTTCATGACAACCGATTCAGAGGCAGGGGAGTAGCTCACAACTATTTATAGACTGCCAAGCAGGTGTATTCCAGTCATACCGACCCACAAGACACATCCCTGAAGGATGTGAACTGTTTGTGGATGAGTGCTGACACCTTCCCATAGTTTTGGGTGACCCTTCTCTTTTCAAACGCAAAATTCAGAGGTCAGTTACTACAGTTGCAAGTTTTCATCCTCCCTTCCACGGATTTGCTTTTGAGACCCCTTATCAGGGTCACTCTCACAGCACAACAGAACCCCTTAAGGCTCATGGTTACTTCTTCCTTTTGCTCACCTCTGCCCCAGTCTCAGAATTCCCAGCAGTGCTCCCCCTGGTCCCCCAGACTGAGTGCTGTGGAAAATAATGACTAGTAATAAGCCACGTTGTAAGATGCTGTGCATGATGAAGCAGATGCTAAGGAGATTAGATTAGAGGACTGGTTTTGGTGAAGTGACTATAGATTTTTTCCACTTCTTCTGTAATGGAACGCCTTGAGACAGGTGCTGACAAAAAATGTCCCATTGCTAATGCTTCCCCTTGGTTGATAGTCCTATGCAATCTGGAGCTAGGCCAGAGTATCAGGTTGCACTCCAACATGAAAAGCTAGAAGTCTGATCTGGAAAGAATTGGAACTGCCCATGGAATGCTGTTAGACACACGATCGAATAGTGGTTTGCTGAGGAGAGGATGACCAGGCCTCAGTGTTATCCGAGATCAGTATAGAGAAAACAAAATTTGCAGCCATGGCAGCGACTGCTGTCCCTTAAATGTTGCCCTTTACAGGGCTTGGCACCCTGAACTGTAATAGAGACTGTTAGTCTTTCTTGTGGCCAGTGAACAGGGCTGAAGGAACTGAAAGACCTTGCAGAAACTGGGGAATGGCTGCTTGTTTTGCTGCATGTGGATATATGTGATTGCACATATATCTGCACACACGTGCCTTGTGCATGTGCTCTGTTACTTTCTGCCAGTCATTTCAGTGTTGTGATAATTCCATGTGCCAAGTAAGAAGGACACAAAAAAGTTGCCCATCAGTTATGTCAGACAACTCAGGGCTCTTGGCTACTAGCCCACACAAAGTCATTATCTTCAGCTGTTTTCAAATAAGCTTTGTAGATTAGAACTAATGTCCAAGATAAGTAACTAAGAACATAACTAGATTTTAATATTTAGAATTTGTATGCTCCTTTACTGGCTAAAATACTGTAATTTCATATGCCATTAGGCTATGAAACTTCCTCTGAGCAGAGATTATTAATGTAGATTATTAATGTTCACTCATCCCATTTTAGAATTCACATCTGTTGTTTTAACCATATAAAATCTTTCTGCACCTAAGGCACTTCTTTAAATCTTTGTTTCATACGTTCTGGTGGCTTACTTTGCTTTTAGATTAGCCCCTTTATTAGACTGTGTTTTCTCAAGGTCTGAAATGAGATGAATCTAGAAAAATCTGATTTTCAGATGAGGATTTCCCAGCTCATGCTTCAGCTCACAAATGCTCATGGGCACACCTATGCATGTTACATGGGCAAACAGTACTGGTCACACAAAGACACATGCACCCTCCTGTCAGTCTGTAAGATCTAGTGAATGTTGACCAAATTTGCCATATTATTCTGTTTATTCCATCACACTCAGGTGATGTAATTTAGCTTTCTTTTCCTACCTGCCAAACTCTCACACCTCCTCATTCCCCCAGATACTCTAACTTGATGATAAAACACTTTTGGAAGAAGTTGCATTGTTTTCTGCAATGCTTGTTATTTCAGATGCAAAAGTCATCAACAGTGCTATCCAGGAAGACCACTTCACAGAACCCAGTAACATATCCCAGATACCGTGGAGTAGGAACCTACTTCTTTATATGATCCTGGCTTTTTAAAGAAACCTCATATCAAACTAAAGCCACATTCACTGCCTGTCACCCCAGTTTTGGCAGAAGAGTGTTAAGGGCCTTTAAGCCTCAGTAGTCCCAGAGATTCAATAGCTTGCCTGATGACTGCTGGAGAGCCTGTGGCAGAGGAAAGACTGGAGTCCAGTTGTTAGTCCCTGCTCTGACTGTTCTGCTAATGTGAATGAAAAGACACTTGAGGAACTACAACAGTTCAAAAAATAAAGCAAACTTAAAAATTATGTCTGAAGGAAACAAATCTGAAGTAAGAAAATCTGACAGTGAAGCACTTACCATCTGCAGCTGTAGTGCACAATTGATTTTAAGGGCTCTGGATTGCAATGTGCTGCGTTGCTTGGCATGTGACACACTAGCACATCACATCGAGTGTGCTACCAGTCTTTTTGCATGTGTACTTGCCTTCTGGTAATAATCATGTTTCACACAGTAAGTGAAAAAGACCAATAAATGGCTCGTCTTTTGTGAGTCTGTTGATGTGGTTTGCTCTTGCTTTGGCACTGCACATCCATGTTTCTTGTGTCATGTTGAAGTACAGCAGAACACTCAGGAGTATATGTCTTTAAGAGAACAAAGCCTATCAGATGCAAATTTGGACGCAGGCATATGCATCTTTGAATCAGAGTTCAAGTGGACTCATATGTATTTCAGTGATGTGGTCATTACCACTGCTTTGACTGGTGGTGTGAAGCTGCAGGTTAAGCCAGCGCTTTTACAAACAGTATTTGCGAGCTCTGCTTTGACACTGCCACTCATTATAGTAAGTTTTAAACATGCATGCTGATTGATCCAAGTTGTCTTTTTGGCAGCAACCTCGAACCTTGAATCTTGTTCTCTTCATTCATTAGAGGATTAATTTTGGACTGCAAATGACAGCAAGCAGGGGTGAGCTACAGAAGATGCCAGACACCACTTGCTGGCACAGGGAACTTACAATGTACAGCAGTGCCCTATCCCTGCTTGTTATGTGGCCCATACGCCAAATGTTTGTCTGATACAAATCTGCAAAATTCCAAAACACTGTGTTAATTTATGTACTTCATTACAAGCATATTTATCCTTATGTTATTTTTACTTCAGCTTACCCATCCGTCTGCAGCAAAGGTGCAGATGAAAGAAAGCTTCAGTCACCACAACAGCGGTAGCTACCCCTCTGTCTAGGACATGGTGAACAGCATGCTAATGTCAGGCAGAGTCACGGATTGCTAGTGAGGGGTGAATAAATAGTGCAATTATTTCCTGGGGAATAACAATACTACAGGGATGTGACGTAATACAGCCAACAACACTGGCAGTCTGGCTTCTGTCTCTCCTGGAAAACTTCACTGTCCTTAAGGTGCTGATATATATATAATAATGAAGAGGGCAGTTCTGCCCATGGTTCAACTGACTTATTCTATGTTTACAGGGTTTTCAATTCTGACAAAGCTAATAACCTCACTTTTAATAATTAATCTCTCCTATACTGTAAAATAAGTTGTAAAATGCAGAGTGTCACAGTACTGTAGGTACTTAGTTGTCATTGTCTTGTCTGCAGTGATTTGACCCTTATCAATAAAATGACAAAGGGCTCACTATAAAACCCTGCCAGCTGGAATATCTGACTGTAACTGTATGCCTTGATAAAGCCCTAGCAATTGCTTGCTGTACTAATACCTGATTGAAGCCAGTTCTACAATGGCAGCTCTATGCTTTTGCTTACAAGGTCTTTCTAAGGCTACTTGAGGAAGTAAACTGAAGCTTACAAATACTCTTTTTGGGCCCAGTAGTCTAGTTGCAAGTCTAGATTTGGAAAGATTTGCCTTGTCTTGACAGGGTTTTTTTAAAGCTTTCTTGTGTATTTGAGGCTGGGGAAGGGTGTCTAGTTACCAGTTTCAGACACATGGGTCTTCTATCCACATACCAGCTACAGAATGAAGAGCGTAGCCTTGAAATTGGCAGGCTTTGGCCTTCCTACCTTAAAAAGTTACACCATTTTTTGTGTAGTGGCATATGGCATGCTCTGAGGCTGCAATTTGAACAAAAAAAAGGTAGCAGAAATATTGCTATTCTTCACTCCAAAGCATAAAGCAGTTCTGAGAGGTGGAGCATACTGCAGGAGTGAAAAAATATAAAGACAGAAAAGTCTTATATAACACAGCGAGGGCATTCTTCCATTTCAAACTTTTTCTGATTAAGGAGCATTCAAGATGTAGCATTTCCATTCCATGCTTTACTGAAAATGGAAGGAATAAATTCTGTCCTGTGAGTAACAGACTGGCTGATTGTTTAGAGCATTGCTTTCAAAAAATAAAGATCTAATATGGAAAAGCAGTAGCATGTGCTCTTGTCCTTTTGGGTCTCACTGTAGGATCCAGGTGATACAGACTGGTAAAATGACTTTGGGGACTGTTCTTTTGAAGACAGCAACAGGACCTTGTGTGCCAGTGTGACTTTTGAAACACACTATGCCATTTGCAAACTAGACACTTTTCAGAAATCCAGAAAGTGCCGTACAAGCAGGTATTTATGTGCTCACTGTGCAGGAAAGCAGAGCTTTCTATCATTTGGTCAAGGAGGAAGTGGCTTCTTCAGTACTGGAAATAACTGAAAGTTCTGAACATAAGGGTACTGTGGCAGTTTGTAGGATGCTATCTCCCATGAACTGAGCTGGCCTGGAAAGAATGTTTAATGTGCCTGACAAGAAGCTCTGCTCAGTTATCCTGAACTTCAGGGTGAGCTGAGCCTCCTAGCAGCTGCTACTGTCATTTATTGGTAGGCCCTACCAAAGCCAGTGGAAAACAGTGCCACCCTGACGAGTTGCTTGGAGGAGTGAAAGGCAGAGAAACATCTCCAGTGCAGTGGGGCTGCCTGGAGTACAATTCATATGACATATCTGTGACAGCAGTGGACTCTTTTTACTGCCTCTATGAGACCATGTGCATCTGGGTGAATGACTCTGCTCTTCATATTGTATACAATAGTGTTTCTGTGATGAAATTTGGCAGTGTTGAGGTCACAGGGCACTCCATTTGTCTGTTCTCATATCATACAGAGAATAACCTATTGCTGTTTGTTTAGCTAACACAATGGAGCTCCAGTCTGTGATAGAGTTTCTCTTGTGCTCTCATCATGCAAATAAGTAAACAGTGATATTAAAAAGAGGGGGGGACAAATGTGTTGTCTTGAGTAGAGCAGGTTGGATATTCCAGCATGTTTCAAGCTGTATGAAGCACCCTGTGGGATTTGGCCTTGCATGTTTCAGTGTAAATTTTTTTTTTCTTAGCTTTGGAGGGAAGATAAGAAGCTTTCACTGCTATACCAAAGCATCCATATCATATATTTATATGTTCTACAGGACTACAGATTTCAGGCGATTGCCAAGCATTTTCTGATTCAGGGAAGTACAGCAGGGATTTCTGTAAATATTCCATTAAGAGATCAGTTTGCTGTAGGAGCCTTGTAGAATTCTGCCTGCAGGACAGACTAACTTTAAGCATTTGTGTATGTGGCAACCTGCTCTAATTAAGGTATCACCTGTTCATGGCAACAGTGTTAGCAAAGGTAAATCCAGGCATGGCTTCTGTTGGGGTTCTGAGAGGAGTGAATTGACTGTCTTGGGTTTTAGTGGAAAATGGAAGGGTCTCTAAATGGTGCTTCTGTCTTAGGAATTAAAGCCTGTTTGGTAAAAGGAATAAGCTTGACCCTTATGAGTAACATGAGTGGTGATATAACTACATTAACGCTAGGTGTTGTGTAAATATTTCAATTTAGGAAAATGGTACTGCTAACTTACATTATGTAACTTAGCAATATTCAGGGGTTTCTAAGAACTGAGAGATGGAATCCAGGTCACGCTGTCCCTGGGTATCTTTCCAATTTGACACTAGTAATACATTTAATCCCTCAAGCATTACAGACCTTAAGATGAAGCTGTCCATGTGAGAAGTAATTGCAGTGACCCACAGGTTTTACAAAAACATGGAAGGTAGTCTGACAGCCCTCCACTTCCTTCTTTCCACTCAAAATATTTCAGAAAGGTAGAAACTATATTTGGCTTGAATTTTACTGAGTAGCTTCCTTGCATTACAGTTTATTGCATCTGGGTTTTTCTAAGACACCACTATCAGAAGTGTCTCTGTGTAAACCAACTGCAGAATAAGCCGTTATCTTTACTGTGCTACAGAATTAAGTTATGGAGCCCATGTCAAAGAGAATGAAAGACCTACAGAGTGGAGTAAATCATCACTCTGATATAATTCACAGCAAAATACACCCAAAAGAACTTAATTATTTGTATGCCACTGGTTAATATGCTGGCGTAAATAGGTGTTTCCTGAAATGAGGTTGTGGTAAGGTGTCAGTCTCTTTTACCAAGTAACAAGCAATAGGGCAAGAGGAAATGGGCTCAAGTTGTGCCAGAGAAAATTTAGATTGGATATCAGGAAAAATTTCATCATTGAAGCATCACTCAAGCACTGGAACAGGCTGCCCAGGGAAGTGGTGGAGTTACCATCCCTGAAGTTATTTAAAAGACATGTAGTTGTGATGCTTAGAGACGTGGTTTAGTGGTTCCCTTGGCAGTGCAAGGTTAGTGGTTGGACTTGATGATCTTAGAGATCCTTTCCAACCTATATGATTCTATGATTCCTCTTTTGTACCATTAATTAAGGAACACTCACAAGTATTGGTAAATGCCAAAATGGTGTAAATAATCTAAGTTAAAAGGAGGGGGAAATTAAACATGAGGTAAAATGACTTCCTCAAAGCCATGCACAGAACATGTGCCAGAGAGGACTAGTCCTGACTCCAAGTCATATTTTCAGGCCGTGAACAGACTTCTTTTCTTCACATGAGATTAAAGTATAATGGTGGAATATCTCTTTTAGGTAGCAGAAATACTTCTTTCATGCTTGAGTTTGCCAGATTGTTGCATGTGATTGATGAAAAGCTGGAGGTGATATTCCTAACCACTGAAACAGCAGAATCCTGAAGGGGACATCTTTGTCCATCATCTTCGATACCTACAGCCTGATTTTCTTCTCATTCAGTTTATACAACCTTAATTCCTCTGAACACATAGAATTAGTCTAGATTTACACCAGAGATACACAGAATCTGGATCAGACCTTTGGAACTGGTCGGACTTCTCAGGGGGAGCTCCATGGAGGTATGGCAGAATCTGTATGCATAGAGCCCTTGGAGAAAGGGCAGAGAGCTCAAGCATTTCTGGGTCCTACCTTATGAGAAGCCATGCATCAGGTTGTATAACAGGGGTCCACATATGTGTATACCATTGTCCTGCATCAGGGAACTGGCAATAGCTGCATCCAGACACAGGATGCCTTTTAGTTGAGCAGGGCTCCTTTGAATTAAAGACCTGCTTAAAAAGCTTGCCCTCTCAATACGGGAAGGATGTCAGATTTTAAAAACCTTAAAACTTTCAAAAACCTTGAAAGAGATAGCTGCACAGCCCTCTCACACCAACAGAAAATCCAAGTATGTTCCAGATGTTTACGCCAAGTGAATGTCTACATCAGATCCAAAGTGTTAAAAAATTCCCTCAGTGATTTATAGAGGTGTAGTGAGGCCCTCATCCAATGTAGCTCACCCTCCTTCCACTGAATTCAGTGGAATTTTACCATTTCATGCATATTTAAGAAGTGACCCATTAAAACTCCAAGAAAAGTACCCCCAGTGTGTGTGGGCATTATATTCTTGTCACTATTTGCCACTGAATATGTATTTGAGCATGCTCCTTAAATGGATTCTGGCAAAATAATACTATAGCTATGCATGTATTTGTAAAACCACAGTGCTATGAAAATATTATTAAATGCAGTTTACTATGCAGTGGAAGTAGTCTGTGAACACCCAAGACTAAAGAAATCTTTTTCTTTCACAAATCTGAAGGTCAGACGTACATGTTAAAGGGAACATGCAGAACTAGCCAACCAATATGGATTTATATTTATTTTAGGTTCCTTTTATGCAAGTGATTAAGCACCTGTTTCATCATGTTCTGTGTATGCTAGCAGATAATCAACAATGATGTAAATCCAAAGGCTTGGATATAAATTTCCTTATTGTGTTTAGAGGAGTGGGTTCAATTTGTTTGGATGAAGTTTAATTTGTAAGATATTGTGGCTTGCTTGATGTGCCAAATTTTCACTCTCAAACCACAGGGAAAACAGTTTAGAGCTTAGCACTGCAAATGAAGCTATTTTAGTCTAGTATTGTTGTACTAGAGCACTGTGTTGGTCAGATTTGAACCACTAGGGAAAAAAATTATGGCAATGGATCAGTGCAGATCTGCCAGAACAGCTATACAGGTTTACACAAGCACACACTCATCTAAAACCATTGATATATAGTGAAATAAAGCTTTACTGTAAAATAAAGCTTGGAACATTTAATAGATTATGCTGGAGAGGGACTCTTCGTCAGTGACTGTATTGATAGGACAAGAGGTGATGGGTTCAAACTTAAACAGTGGAAATTTAGCTTAGATATAAGGAAGTTCTTCCCTGTGAGGGTGCTGAGGCACTGGCACAGGGTGCCCAAAGAAGCTGTGGCTGCCCCATCCCTGGCAGTGTTCAAGGCCAGGTTGGATGGGGCTTGGAGCAACCTGCTCTAGTGGAAGGTGTCCCTACCCATGGCAAGGGTTGGAACTGAATGAGCTTTAAGGTCCCTCCCAACCCAAACCATTCCATGATTCCATGATTGTGTGAGACAGAGTTATTTCCTGTCCGGCACCCAAATTAAACTGACTCATTTTTTCTTTTTCCCCTTTCCCTTCTCCTTTTTTCCTTTTCCTCTTTGCAGGAATCTTAATAGATTTGTAGAAGTGTTTCTGTTCTCGTCTTAGAAATGCAAAATTATTAACTTCCTTGGGCAACGCTGGGAAAATGATCATGCAACTATTGCATACCCTAGCTGTTCTACTGGGCACAGATCAGTTTTCAAGAGGATTATTCATACTTGCACAAGAGTCAGACACTCATATTACTCTAGTCTATAGTTCCTGACCAGGACCACTGAAGGCAGTGGATTTACACAGGAGACAGAACAAGCATCCTGTAGCCTCTTGTACGTTTTCACTCCAGGTGGGGCATCAGATGGAAGGAACTCAAACTTATTTATCAAAGCCTGTGGTGAGCATGTTGGATTGGCATTTATTTAAAGACAAATTCAAAGCTCCTTTATGTAAATTGAACAGATTTTGTTCTGAACTTAAAACGTGTTTGTTTTATCCTTAGTTTGGTGCTTAACCATACCACTTTTCAGTGACAACTTTCCAAACAGAACCTTGCCTTAAGACGGCTAAACTGTCTATTTGAGATAGGCTGTGGAATGTAATATGTTCCATGGACGCTGGTCCATGCCACCCAAGGCTTCATCCAACCTTGCCTTGAACACTGCCAGGGATGCAGCATTCACAACCTCCCTGGGCTACCCATTCCAGTGCCTCACCACCCTAACAGGAAAGAATTTCTTCCTTATATCCAATCTAAACTTCCCCTGTTTAAGTTTTAACCCATTACCCCTTGTCCTGTCACTACAGTCCCTAATGAACAGTCCATCCCCAGCATCCCTATAGGCCCTCTTCAGATACTGGAAGGCTGCTCCGAGGTCTCCACTCAGCCATCTCTTCTCCAGGCTGAACAGCCCCAACTTTCTCAGCCCGTCTTCATACGGGAGGTGCTCCAGTCCCCTGATCATCCTTGTGGCCCTCCTCTGGACTTGTTCCAACAGTTCCATGTCCTTTTTATGTTGAGGACACCAGAAATACACACAATACTCCAAGTGAGGTCTCACAAGAGCAGAGAGGCAAGATCAACTCCTTTGACTTGCGGGTCACGCTCCTTTTGATGCAGCCCAGGATACGGTTGCTTTCTGGGCTGCAAGCGCACACTGAAGCCGGCTCATGTTCAGTTTCTCATCAACCAACACTCCCAAGTCCTTCTCCACAGGGCTGCTCTGAACCTTTTCTCTGCCCAACCTGTAGCTGTGCCTGGGATTGCTCTGACCCAGGTGTAGGACCTCGCACTTGTCATGGTTAAACTTCATAGGGTTGGCATCAGCCCACCTCACAAGTGTGTCGAGGTCCCTCTGGATGGCATTCCTTCCCTCCAGGGTATCAACCGAACCACACAGCCTGGTGTCATTGGCAAACTTGCTGAGGGCGCACTCAATCCCACTGTCCATGTCAGTGACAAAGATGTTGAACAAGACCGGTCCCAACACCGATCCCTGAGGGACACCACTGGTTACTGGTCTCCAGCTGGACATTGAGCTATTGACCACAACTCTTTGCATGCAGCCATCCAGCCAGTTCTTTATCCACCGAGTGGTTCATCCATCAAATTGATGTCGCTCCAATTTAGAGACAAGGATGTTGTGTGGGACAGTGCAGAATGCTTTGCACAAGTCCAGGTACATGACATCAACTGCTCTACCCCTGTCCGTCAGTTCCATAGCCCCATCATAGAAGGCCACCAAACTGGTCAGGCAGGATTTCCCCTTAGTGAAGCCATGCTGGCTGTCACCAAGCACCTTGTTTTTCATGTGTCTTAGCATGCCTTCCAGGAGAATCTGCTCCAAGATTTTGCCAGGTACAGAGGTGAGACTCACTGGTCTGTAATTTCCTAGGTCATTTTTGTACTTCAAGACAAAGCTTATTTCCTGATAAGATTTGATTGAAGAAAAAGAGCATCAGATACTGAGTCAGTTAAGGAGAGCTGAGCATCAAATTCCTATTATGATTTGGGCATCAAAATCTCTTAGATAAATTTAAGGTCTCAGGATCTAAGTGTTTTGTTTCCATCTTTGAATCATATTATTTGGTTTGGGCTTCACTTATAGTATTTACTTACAATACTATCTGGTTTGAGAGACTTTGAGACTAACATATTCCCATGCTGTGTCCAGCTTCAAGAGCTCAAAAGCAGGAGACTCCAAATAGGAACAGAAAGGTGAGTGTGGTTTTAGACTACTGAAGTATGAAGCAAATTCCTCATTTGTGGTAGGGCAGAGACAGAGAATTAAAGTTGTAACTTGAATTTGCTGTGAATTGTTGGTATCCCAGCCTGTACTGCAAATTCTTCTAAATGCATGAATGAGAGGCAGTTTTAAAATACTGAGTTTTTATGATTATTCTGTATGATTATTCTATGGTTGCTGAGTTTGGAAACAAAAAAAAAAACAAACCAAACAAAAAAAATCTTCTTGGCTCTGCTAGACCCTGCTGAGAATGGGTTGAAAAATTCTTTCAAAACACCTTTTATCAGAAAACTGAACTTTCAAGTAGATTAATACTCTCTGGAAAAGCATAAACATCCAAACATCCTTTAGTAATTTAAAAAATATTGTTAAAATGGAAAGCTTTACCATGAAGGGAGGAATATTTTCCAAAAAATTACAGTATTAGTGCCATTAGATAACAGTTGATAGGTGTCAGCTCTTCACATACAGATGTACATTAGATAAGGTTGTGTATGTTAAGAAATGACCTATGAGCAAGTGGTAATTGACTCCTGTTATTATTACTCTAGGGTTTTATACATACTGACTTAAACCCTTCCAAGGCTGGAGGTGGGGTAAAAAGTCGATAAAGAATTCCTCCAGCTTTCATGGCTCGTTCTAAATTTACAGGCTGAGCTATTTGCTACTGACTGTTCTGAGAACAACTGTTGACAACTGTTAAATGAGTCCTTTCTGTAAGAAAGCAAACATAATCTTTTAAGACATTGTAATTTTTCTACAGTTGTGTTTCAATGCTGTCAAATAGGTCCCACAAAAGAGCTTGGGGTAAGAGAAGGGGAGGACAAGAAAAAGGAATGTATTCAGTGGTACTGGAAAAAAGGAAGAGCTCAGTTGGTATTTAAAGTTAGCAGTATCTTAGACAAATGGGGTAAATACTACATACAGAAAATGATTCCATCATATGGTAAATCTTGCATGTTACCAAAAAAGGTGGAGCCGAACACGTACAGGCTAACTCTGATGGTGTAGATTTGTTTAAAGTGTCTTCCAGATTACCTTTTCCTATGAGGCTTTCAGCATGAGGTACTGTCCTGTGCTGCAGT